CCAGGTTCCAGCACAAGGGATGGGTGGGGATACCCAAGACGAGGTTTGGGGGAGGGAAGTCTATGGGAGAGCTCTGGGTGTGAGACCCTCTACTGTCATCACCTACCACCGACACATTTAGTGATGCTAGCATCCCTGGATGGCAGCAGTAGTTTCATCCCTCATGTCTGAGTCTCAGGATCCACAGAGGGCTTCCTGGGATGCAGATGTAAAGAATCAGAGGTACAGCCAGGTTCAGCAGCTCACATCTGCAATCCTCACTGCTTAAGAGGCAGAGATTAGGAGGATAGCAGTTTGAGGCCAGTCGGGGGAAAAATTCCATGAGACTCCATCTCAACCAATAAAAAGCTGGTTGTGATGGAAAATGCCTGTCATCCTAGCTAGCTGGGAAGGTGGAAGAATCACAGTTCAAGCTGGCTGGAGCATAAAGGGAGACCCTATTAAAAAACAACCAAAGCAAAAAGGGACATTAGATATGCCTCAAGTGGTACAGCACCTGCCTAGCAAGCACAATGTCCTGAGTTCAAATCCAAGTAGTATCAAAAAATACTTTTTTCAAAAAAAGGATCTATGGTGCCTCTTAACCTTCAAACCTATCATGTCTGCTGTGAAGGACTACCTCGGTTGGTGCTGCTTTTCTTTATTTTGGTTCCAGCTTTATAAAGTCGGTTGGTCTAGCCTCAGTTCCTTCAAATCGTCTGTGTTGCTCAGAAATACAAAGAATAAATATCCTTAGTGACCACCAAATCCAAAACTGGAGAGCACAAACTACTGCCAACACCAGTTCATTTAATCAATGAAAACCAAAGGGCACTAATTGAATTTATAGCTGGTATGTTTTTTGTGACATTCTGACAAGTGCTGTATACATGGGACTAAACCACGGCTGTTTTCAGGGTTTATAAGTCACACCATCCATGAAAAAAGACTAAATTGTGGGGTTTTTTTCCCTGAAAACACAACTGAAATAATATTACACAAAAGTGAGGACAGAGTTTAAAATGATCCTACATAGATATTTTAATTACAGAAGAGCTAAAGTGTCCTGAAACACCACCCCACAGACCATGTCCTTATTCAGTTCCTACGGAATTTAGATAAACTCTTAGCTTGGCTCTCCAGGTCTCCTAAATGTGACTCCAGCTTTTGTTTTCAGCTGGGCACCCCCATTTTCCCAGAATATCACTCTCAGAAAAAAAAAAAAAGATGAGCCAACAGCTATTTCAAGAGTGCAGTCTACATTTTCTGCCTTCATGGTTTTCTGCTCACGAAGCTACCCCTAGAATGTCCTAAATCAAATGCCACTTCCACTTTTCTTTCAAGACACATCTGGTGGGCTGAGGATGCAGCTCAGCCATTGACAGCTTGCTTGGCATAAGTGCAATACTCCACAAAAACAAAAGACAAAGACAACTTCCCAAATGCTACCATTTCCAACAAGTCTCCGTTCACCCCTTCAAACAAAAGTGGCCTCTTCCTTTTCTGAACCATCAGAATCTTTGTGGCACATACATATACCTAGGTAGATGCACACATACATACATACGAATTTATTTGTTGTTGTTTTTTGCAGTACTGGGGACCATACTCAGGACACTGAGCATGCTAGGCAGTCTATCACCGAGGTACATCTCAAGTCCATAGGGGTTTTTTTTGAGACCTATGTAACTCAGGCTGACTTCAAACTCAAGATCCTCCCGCTTTAGCCTCCAGAGTGCTGAAATTACAGGTATACATCACCAGGCCCAGTCATACATGTAAATTTTATCATGATTATCATTGGTGTGTTTACCTAATTTCCCAACTTGGACTGTAAACTGAGGATCAGGGACCATGGTTTACTCCCAAAGTTGCTTTTATAACCTCTACTCTGACAAATATGATGCTTAGAACACAAGGATTCAATAAACATTTGCTGAGCTGTTATTTTATTAATAATGATGCCAGTCTGGGAACGTGGTTCAGGGGTAGAGCTCTAGCCTAGCATGTGCAAGTCCATGGCACCAAACCCTAACACCAAAAAAGAATTTAATAAAGTGTTAATGATAGTGTGACATGTATCAACTACGGGAGGAGAGTGACATTTGCATACTATAACTAATTTAATATTCAAAGTCCTATAACTGAGAGAACTAAGGCTTAGCAAACTACATAATTTGTTCAAGGTAACACACCAAGTAGAGTTCCCAGCTTATTGGAGCAGAGTTATCTTGGATCTGAATCAAAATTTATAAGACTCCCAATCTGGACCCCAAGTCAACACTATTCAAAAGTGATAAAACTCAAAAGATATATGGTTTTAAACTTTCAGATAATAAACTTAGCAAAAACGAAATAGATCCATAGATTGTGATAGTAAGGAGAGCTACTTTTCAAAAACAAGTATTGGAAATTAATATGAAAAGTTAAAAAAACATATTTGTGAAGAACTTTTACCATCATAGTACAAGAAACGCAAGAGATGCAGAAAAAGACTCTTCGTTTGAACTAGTACGATAAATGGTGTATTAGCAAATTGAATTTGCAAATTTGCATACTGTAATAGAAAAACCATAGGCTTGGAAATTTTAGCCTTGGTCCTTGGGCACATTACTTAGTCTGTTTTCCCAAATGATATATGACATTAATGATAATGGCCTTGAGAAATAATGGGAATATTAGTGGATATAAGACAAGTGAAAAACCTACCAGAGTATCCAAAATAAGGTAATAACTCAGCTAACGTTGGGCACTAGTAACGTTATTATTACTAGTATTTTTTGAGAAGTGAGTTTGCTAAGCCAGTGTCCTTGAGAAGAATGGAGAAACAGTGCTGCCATTAGGGTTCCAACTCCTTCCATGGTGACAGAGTGCATTATTCCCAGGAGCCAAATAGAAACAAAGCTAACATCACAGCCTTCCTCCTCTTCAACTTGACCGTCAAATCCATTCTCTTGTACCTAGGAACTGGAAGTCAAGTTTGAACCTTCTTTTAACAAATGTATCCACTTATGTCCTCAACTCCTACCCAGCAGCTGGTTCCCATCTTTCAGAGAATACTCTGGAAGCAGCAGAAGTAGCATGGCATCAGTCCCAGGGTGCATAGGTGCACCACACCCACCCCTTTTTGTTTTCATGTTTCCAGTTTCTTATCTGAACTTCGGTTTCTTCAAATGTTAACAGGAGGTCATAGCTCCTAGAAGTGCTACTCTGTGAAATGTACATCTCTAAGACTATTCAGTGCCCAGCACAGAGTAGCACTCAGTAGTCACTAATTAATTTCCTTCTCCCTCCAAGGTCCCCCATAAATGGAGAATCATCAAGATCTTTGGAGCAGTACAGTGTGCTCTTGTCTCTTCTTAAGTGGAACCTGCCACCATGGATGGATGGTTCAGATCTGAAAAGTACTATCTCATTTAAATCACAGAATACCAAATATCAAGGCCCAAGTGATTAAGTTTGCAACCACATTCAATAACCTGAAAATAATGGGCTTTTTCCTTCATAAAAATATCCCTAAAAACTCCCTGACCTATTTTGTTTTCTGGAAAACATGTGCCTGAGAACTCAAAATTCTGTAGAAAGTCCAAGAAACAGACTAGCTTTTCAAATGCAGGAGAGAGAACACATGCAGGAAGCTGTATTGGGGGATTCTGAAACATTTTAGCAAACCATTATGTCAAAAATCAAAACAAAACATTTTCTGGAGCAAGGTCTAAAACACTTCAAGCCATAGCACTACAGCTGGATGTGAAGTCACCTATCACAGTAGGTGTGGTAAACAAAGTTACTTTGAAGTTACCAAGAAGTTGCTTGGTTTGTTCCTGGAATTCCATCTCAGTGTTAAGAACTTGCTATTGTTTTGTAAATTGTTCAATCATTTCCCTTAAAATCAAAGAAAAGATAAATATCAAAGCCTAACAGTCTTAATGTTGATAACTGAAATTCACATTCAGCTTTTGAAAATAGAACTTCATTTTCCCTTTCCTCTTCATTTTCTCATTTCCTATTTGTTATCTGGAGGAAGGGGGAAAGAGACAGAAACTGACTGCATCACAGGAAGGGAACCTCCAATATTTTGTCAATATAAAGGACTATAATGTAGCAGTTTTTCTATAGAAACACCACCCATTCTCCTACAAAAAACTATGCACTGTATTCCCATATTGTCACATGTAAATTACGATTATTGGCCCAATAATTGCCTATATATGTGTATGAATATGTGAGAGTGTGTACCTGCTCTTCCTCTCTCTCTCTCTCTCTCTCTCTCTCTCTCTCCCTCACACACACACACACACACACACACACACACACACACACACAGTCACTCACTCACTCTCCCAGTCCATAAATCCAAAAGGTATTCTCAGCCATGTTCAAGACACCAGGGCTGGCGCCTCCCAGGGAGGCAGCAGTCCTTAAATACATTTCAAGTGCTCTTCTGAAAGAGGCACGGCTCAGCTTTCCAGCAAAGCCCTGTCGCTGAGGCCTCTTCCTTTAGAAATCCCCAAATCCTGTTTTAGATATTTGTTGTCTGTCAGCTCGGTCCACCTGGCCCTTCCATGGGCAAGGGAAGGAAGTGGCAAAACAGGGATGGGTGTCGTGCCCCTGTCTGGAAGCAGCCTTGCCTCCCACACCTCAGCGAGTGCCCCGTTCTGTCCTCCCCACCCGGCTGCTCATCTCCCAGGCGCTATCGGAGAGGAGGCAAGGCCACGGCGAGGATCAAGTCCACCACATTCACCGCAAAGGCTCAGCCCTAGCCACCCCGACACCCACTCATCGCCTCCCACAGCCCCTGTCCCCTTCCACCGCCTCCAGGTCACCAGGCACTGCAGCCACCGCAGGGGGTGCGGGGGAGGCGCGCGGGGAGAGCCGGGGGCTTCCTTCAGCAGCCACCCTGCGCGTCCTGGAGGATTGTCCTCTGGGGACCAGGCTGGAGCAACTTGCAGGAACTTAAGAGGCAAAGGCTGCGCTCCCGGCCCCTCAGCCCCGATGGCGAGGGCGAGCCCCAGGCTTACCACGAGCACGGGGACGCCGGCTGCCAGCGAGTAGAGCAGCACGGGGGGCACGGCGCTGCGGTCCTCCGGGCCCGGGTAGGGCTTGCGGTAGGCGCTGTCGTGGCAGAAGAAGCCCTGCACGTTCACGGTGAACGTGTCGGTGTACTCGAAGTAGTACGCCAGCATCACCGTCCCGGCCATGATCACCATCTGGAAATAGAGCATGCTGCTGGCGAGCGCCGCGGGCAGCGGGGCGCACACGCGTCCCCTCCCGGCCGAGCCGCGAGCCGAGCGGCCACCGCGCCAGGCCCCCTCCCCGGTCCGCCGGGGGCGCGGCGGCGGGGGCGGCGGGAGGACGCGCGGCGCGGGAGGGAGCGAGCGAGCGAGCGAGAGAGAACGAGCAGAACGAGCGAGAGGGAGAAAGAGCGAGCGCGGAGAAAGAGGCGGAGGCAGCGCGGGCTCCGAGGCTGCGGGGGAGGCGGCTACCCCCGGACGAGTCCCCGCTCCCCTGCCCGCCGCAAGCGCCGCCCGCCTGGGCGCGGGGTCGCGCGGAAGGGCGGGGAGTCCCGATCGCCGCACCCTGGCGCGACAGCCTTGGCGACACCGCGGCGCGCGGGTCCGGTTCTCCCCCACACACACAACCACCACCGCCACCGCCACCACCAGGCCAGCCCCCCGGAGGAAACGGCGTGGCGGACGGGGCTGTGGCACCGGTGCCCCTTGGAGGGCGCACCCGGCCGGGTTGGAGGAGCAGGGTGGAGGGAAACAAAAAGAAAACGGAGGGGAGGCACGAGAGATGGGGCTTCTAGAAAGTCCCTTTCGAGGCACAGCTGGGCTGCTTAAGGAACCTGCACAACGCCTGGGAACAGAGTGTGCACGTCCTCTGAGCGCCAAGCTCAACAGAGCGCAAAGTGCCCGAGGTGGCGCGGCGACTTCAGGCAGCGCGTTTAGCTGCGCTCCCTTGGCTCCCTGAGCCCCGCGCAGGACACCAGGCGAGCTGAGGTTCGGGGTGTCGTTCCCTCTCCTCCAGCTTCGGGGCCTTGGATGTTAAAATACAGAATCCTAGCGCATCGTCTGCACCGGTTCTTTCCTCTGGCCATGTATTCTCTTGCTCATCTTCCGTGTCCTTTTCTTAACTGCCTGGGAACAGGAGACATTGCAGATTTTTGGAACCCAATGGTACCAGTCAGCATGAAAGGGAAATGGGCCATTTGCCTCATCTTGCTATTCTGGGAGTTGAGAGTAGTGTAGTGCAGGAATTCCTTGGGTGTCAGGTGAACAGCGAGGGAGACCAAGGCAGGCCGACAGCATACGCATACCAAATACACCCGTGCGTGGGTAGCCACGCGTGCGTACATACATAATAGATATAGAAGTAGCTGTGGCACGCTGCGTGTATGTAAATTGCCTGTCCTGCGGTAGCATGTGGGTCCCCGCACGGAGGCTTAGGCATCACTCTCCAGGGTCCCCTCTTGGAGCCTGTCTCTACTCACTCTGGCACTCCAGTGAGCAGGTGAGGAAAAGTGTGTACCAGGCAAGGGGCAGGAATGCCCTTAGAGCTCGGCCTCTCTCATTAAATTGTAGAATTACCCTAGCAGGTTTCTAGAACATTAATTCATTTTTAATAGGCTATAGTTTGATGATTGATGTTAGAGGTGGGACTCTATCATCAGGAAAATACATTATAGGCTTAAAAAAACGTTTACATTTGGCAAATGATTGGTAGATTGGGGATGGGTAGTAATGGCAGTGTGGATTTCCTTATCGTTAAATAGGTGTCAGATTCCACATAATCAAGAATATCGTCAAACAACTTACTGTTTAAGAGCACGAGAGGCAGATCACACTAAGTGACAAACGTGTGTAACAGGCAGTGGAAGGAAGTCATTAGTAACTCGTCATGAAAATATAGCTACTATGAAGACACATGGTTAAGCCTTCATTCAGAAAGTCAGTCTAAAACTGGAAGGGTGTTGAAAGTGCTTTTGTGATGCTAAACAGGAGTCCCACAAACTGTCCCCCTTCATAGCATTTTGAGAAGAATGGTGTTAATTATTAAAGGTAATTAATTTGGTTCAGCTAACAGAAACATGCATTATTTTCAAAATTAGAATGTGCTGTAATACACAGTTAATGTGTATTAAGTGCCTAGGACTGGCACATGTAACAAAGTGAAGTCCTTGTCCTAGTCACTGCCCCAATTCCACTATGAGCAGTGAATGACACATTGGAAGTATTCAAAAAATATTAGTAAACTCTGCCCCTTAACCACAACAGGGAAATATTTTCACATGGGAAATTTGTCCAGGGTCAGGAAATCACAATTTGTTTGTGCCTCGATGAACAACCCCTATGCTGGCATGGTCACAGTGACACAGAAGGTGTAAGGCCAGTCTATAGCTGCAACCTTGTTACCACCTCACTTCAAACACTAGCTCTGCCACTTGCCAGCTCTGGAAACAGGGCAACACGCTGGACCTCTTTTTACAAAACAGCTTCTGCTGGAACCAATTTAAGGTTGATATAAGAATTAAATGATTCACAGTTCACTGTGTCTGACATGTAATGAGTTCCCATATAGCATTTAAATTCTGTAAAACTTAACTTCCAGGATAAGCATGTGGGTACATGCCTGTAATCACAGCTACTTGGGGGGAAGGAGGAACTGGGTCTGAGGCTCAAGTGCTTGAGTGTGAGGCTTTGAGTTCAATCCCCAGAACTGCTAAAATAAATAAATAATTTCTGAACTTAAATGTACCCCACCCACCACAAGTAACTTAGGTAATTCCAACATCCATCGCCAGTCACTTCCCACTCATTCATTGCTCCTGAAATGATTCTGGAATTGTGCACCTTTCCCTACAGATTTGCCCACATTCCATCTCCTTTAGCTACTTACTCATCTCAGGAATGAGATTTTTTTTCTTTCAGAATCCTAATATTATTTGTCTATTTTAGATGATTGAAGGGTGTAGTTGACTGATTCAACAATCCAATGCTGAAATTCAAAGTTTATATTAAATCTTAACTTACATTTTAAGGATATCAACATGAAATTCATCTTCCATGAATATTTGAGCAGAGTGGTATTCATAGAAATACTTCAGGTAGATGAGACTGTGCGAGTTCTATGTCTGTGAACTGCTAACTTTCCTTTCCTCAATCTGAGCTTCTTCCAGGGTAAAATGAACTAATTTTACTAATTAAATGAGAATATGTAAGTTACTTGGTCAAAAGAAGGTATTTATTTAGTGTATTTCTTCATTATATTTTCTATTAAATCATTTAAGCTAATTATTTCTCAAATATACATCTTCTTAACTGCAAAGAATCCTTTGAAGTCCTTCTTCAAATTTTATTTAAGTTTCTGGTTCTTTTTAGAATAAAAACACCACTATTGATATTTAATCTTTTGAAATCCAGACTGTTTTTAATTTAACTCTTAAGCACATCATTGTACTTTGAAATGTATTATGGCAATCAGCCTTTCTTAACAAAACAATGTTCTGTTCTTCAAACTCTCCCTGTCTTAGCTCTCACCAAGGTGAACAACCTAAATGAAAAATTACTTTCAGTCATTTTTGCTATATATAGATGCTCGTGACTTACCCACTCTCACCCCCACTTATTTCTCCATGGTAAGGTATTGAGACAAATCTTGAGGGAATCCCCTATCAGTACCAAATCTTGAGGGAATCCCCTATCAATTCCAAGACCTCCCTCCCCCACTCCAATGCTACATGCTCCAGGAAGAAAGATTCTAGACCAGCATGAGACAATACAGCCCAAATGGTTTATAACTATTGTCCTGCAGAAAGAAGACATGTACAAAAAGTCAAGGTGGAAGGGACCATTATGTTGGTAGCAAGTACAAGGACAAACCGAATAGCCTTTGGGTAGGCAACTTGGGATGGCTAGATAAGCAGATGCCTTCTCTCCAATTACGTTAAAGATGCCTGTTGAAAAGGTACAGACGCTCTATTCCTTTCTCCTTGACATTATTGACCATTGGATTCTGAACAACAAATCTGCTATTATTGAGAAAACCTGATTGAAATTTTCTGAGAAGGGGCTAGGATTTGACCCTCCTTAGTTTAGAGAATGATTTTGGCAAAGAGATAGCTGAGCAGTTCCAAAGAAGGTACAGAATGCTAAATGTTAATTTCCATGTGCTTTGTAACTAGTATGTTGAGTCTAGACATTTTGCTGAAATTTTCTAATTCTATGTGCAGAAAAATAACATGGTCTTCAACGCATAACTGCAATGGTAGAATAAGAAAGGCTCAGAAGGTTTCACATGAGACAAAGTAGGGAGGCAGCTCCAAAATATAGACAATAACCATTCATAAAACCTACACTCATAATGCTGAACCTCAGTAGAGAGGGTTAAGAAGATTTAAGACTGAAAGTAAGATGGCTTTGCACTAATGAGGAATTTTAAATATTAGCATATAGATTGGTGGAAGCTCTTATGAGAATAGCCTAGGGAAAAGTTTTTTTAATAGGCCAGGTTAGCTGCTTTCTGAATAAGTAAGGACACTGGGTAATTCAGTCTGAAATTATTGAATGTGCACCACAAAATACAGTATCTAGCAGCTCATTTGTTGGACTGGGTCTGGACAATGAATACATACACCTATCTACAAGCATCCTGACTACCTGGTATAGGAATACCTCTGAAGCACGAGTGAGAAATAAGACATAGAACTAGTTAGATCAAGAAATGTGGTCCTTGAGCTGGGAATGCTGGTGCACACTTACAATCCCAGCACTTGGGAGGCCACGGCAGTAGGATCCTAAGTATGAAGCCAGCTTATGCTACAGAAGACAGACTGTGTCTCAACAAAAAGAAAACACAGAAGAAATATAGCCCTAAAAGATGCTCACAGAAAGCCCGGCACCAGTGGCTCATGCCTGTAATCCTAGCTACTTGGGAGACAGATCAGATAGAGGTTCCAGGCCAACCCAGGCAAATACTTCATGAGACCCCATCTCAAAGAAAAAGAACTAAGTACAGTGAAACACCCTTGTCATCCCAGCTACAGTAGCAAGCTTTAAAATAGGAAAATCGCAGACCAGGCCAACCTGTGCAAAAAAGGAAGACCTTATCTTCAAGATTACCAGAGCATAAGGGCTGGAGGTGTGACTGAAGTGGTAAAACACCTGACTAGCAAGCATGCAGCCCTGAGTTCAAACCCCAGTACCTCCAAAACAAACAGACAAGAAAAATGCTCATATAAATCCAAAGACATGACATCTTGAAAGAAAAATTTAAAAAGAGCCTGGAACATTTGGAATTACACCCTTGACCTCTCATTATTGACACCCTATAGGATTGCATCCTCACAAAATGATTTCCAGTGCTTGATTAGGA